ATTATTAATTTATTTTTTATAATATATTTTTTTTATATATTTACTTTATTTAAATATTATTTAATTTATTTAAGATATTTTATTTTTTAACTTACCTTAATTTTTCTTAGCCAGCTAGTCAGTCTTTAAAGCAAACAGATTCTCTCATCTCAAGGGCGGTTCTGTCAAAATCGTGTTCTATATGACAAATATTTTTCCTTTATTTTTTTAACTGATTATTATTTTTTTTTTTAATACCTTAATAAAAATGTACCTTTTTTTTTACCTAATTTTACCGTACTATAATTTTTCTTGAAATAAATTTGTTTTTAATTAAAAAAAAAAATATCCATTTATTTTCAATTAAATCCAGCAAAATGTGTAAATAATGCATAAAAACTTTAAATACTAAATACCTTATATCTAGTTACTAACTAATATTAATAGTTGAAATTATTTTTTATTTTTTTTTTTTAAATTTACATAATTTCAACTAAAATTAAATTGGTCCAATTTACTTGTTTCCTATTATATATTAGTACACTTATTCTACTTAATATGGCAATTATACGACAAATCGTGCCATCTATTAGTTTGCTCACTAACCTCTTTTGCAACTAAAAAGTTCCCTATACTCTAAATTAAATCATGTTCAAAAATGTTCACTAGATGTATTACCTTATTAAATCTTTGATAAACCACGAATTCTAGTTTCATTCCACGTTTTTTTTTTAATGTTTATTGACAAAATGCAACTGCAATTATTACTCTCTTACTGTCTGTATATGAATTTACGATATAATTGGTAAGTAACTGGTGCAATCTTTAGAAATATTGAACGTATCTATTTTACTGGCAATTTATGTATAAAAGTTTATTTTAGGTTACCACTTATCTGTATTCCGGCACGTGATTTCTCCAGCTTCCCGCCAAGTATTTTCTAGCCTAATTTTTTATTAGACATATGTGAATTCCTTGAAGATTCCATTTAATTCTTTCTTCCGATACACCAGGTAACTATTTCCTACCTTATATTACAAATTACTACAACTAACCTCTTATTTTTTTTATATTTGTTTATAAACAAATTTATTTCAAAATGATTATCTTTGCTTTGAATATCTTTTTGTTGAATTTTACTTTAATTCTTTCAATTTTAATTTTTATGTCATTAAAATTCAAAATGTCTGCCAGAAACATCAAAAACTGCCCAAAAACTGTTTATACCGCCTGACAACCGTCGTTTCTAAGGAAAGATAACATCTGCTCTCCTCGCTATAAATGCATATCGAATTTCATTATTTTGTGCCGTCATTTTCATTAAGGTATTTATAGATATTCTTTCTTATTATTAGTTGTGCAACACATACCGGGTGTTCTATTCTCAATTAACATGTTATTCTAAATCAGGTAATTGTTTTGTCAAATTTTGTGTACACATTTATTTTTCTTTAATCCCATGTGTTGTTTAACTTTTAATTGTCAAATTGATTCAACTTGTCTTATGTTATACAGGATTGTTCCTTAATCCTAGATATTATTTGATGAACCTATTTGCTCTATACTGGGCTGGATTATTTTTCAATTTTACTAATCACAATAGATTAAAATAAATTATTAATATACAGGGTTATTCATTTGTACCGGATAATATTTTGTAAATTTGTTTATTTTTATTATTTGCTATATTAATTCAAATTAATGGTCACGCTTGATTAACATAGTTTATAAACATACAGGGTTGTTCATTTGTACTTGATATTATTTGGTAATTTGTTTATTTTTATTATTAGCTGTACTGTTTAAATTTACTAGTTAAATCGATTGAAATCGTGTATTAACATACAGGTATGTTCATTATTATTAATTATCATAACAATTATTTTCTCTTATTCGAGATTTTATTCTTCTGTGCTTCTTTATACCCTTATTTTGATTTTAATATATTGTATTTCGTTGTAATATGTATATTTTTGTATTTGTGTGATTAGTCTGTGTCTTGTGTTTGTTTTCTTTAAAGCGTCTATAGTGTTTGTTGAATCTGTGCATATTTGTATGTTTTGTATTCTGTAGGTGTCTATGTTGTTTGCGATGTATTTTACCGTCTGTGCAACTGCCAGCATTTCGAGTGTGTTTATGTCCTTGTCTGTATCTACTTTTGTCCTGATGTCTGTATGTGTGTGGTCCTTTAAAATTGTTGTCGCGATTGTTTTCGAGTTTCCTCTAATGCTGGCGTCTGTGTATATCAGTGTGTCTATGGTGTGGCCGATTTGTCCTATTTGTAAATGTCTGTATGCCGGATGGGCCTTGTCTATGGTTTTGATTTTGTTGTTGTCTATTGTATCGTGTAGTGTCTTGTACGTAAAGTGGCTGGCTCCTGCATCTGCTGCCAGTGGTGTGACTCCTGCTAGTATTGGTAGAGTTATGTTGGGTGTCGTCCTGTAGGCTTTCGTAATACGTAGCAGGAATGGTCTTTCTGTCGCGTGTAAGTGTCTGTTTATTCTGGTGTCTTTGTATCTTTGTCCCCACACCTCCGACCCATATAAGACCATGGGTTTTATCCCGTGCTCATACATGTATCGGAGGATGTCCGGTCTGCGTCCCCAGTTTCGTCCAGTTATGGCGTAGAGTTTGTTCGCAATTTCTGTCGTTTTTTGTCTTGTTCGTTTTATGTGTTCTATATATGTCAGTTTTGTGTCGATTGTGAGTCCCAAATAAGTTACGTGTTCTTTTAGTTCTAGATTTTGTGTCCCGTTTTTGAGTCTTGGTGGTCTTGTGTTGTTATTGTGTGGTATAAACATAATTTCTGTCTTTGACGTGTTGTAAGTTAGTTTTTTGTGTGTTGCCCAGCCTACGCATTTTTCCCATGTCGCTTGCCATTTTTGTTCTAATTGTCTTAGTGACGTTCCCCCTAAGATAATGATTTGATCGTCCGCGTAGGCTTGGTATAGGTCGATGTCTGTCGTTATTGTCTCTGTCGTGTCGAACCAGTCTTCCATGATAAGGAGCCATAATATGGGACCTAGACTGGATCCTTGAGGGCAACCTCTGTCTGTTTTGTCAATTATGTCCTCTGTGCGTATTTGTCTGTCTGTCAGGAAGTTTATGCATGTTGTTGCCAGTCTGTGTGGAATGTTTCGTCTTTGTAGCATTTCTGCGATTTTTGGCGTCCAGGCTGTGTTAAAAGCGTTCTTTAGGTCAAGTGTGATTGCCAGTGTGTGTCTTTTGTCTTTAATGTTGTTTTTGATTTTATTCGTTACGTTTGTAATGGCGTCTACTGTGGTTCTGCCTTCTCTGAAGCCGTATTGTCTGTCGTTTAGTCCGTTTGTCGTTTCAAGGTAGTACGTTAGTCGTCTTGCCAGTATTTTGTCGAGTACTTTCCCCATTGTTGGTAGAAGGCAGATTGGTCTTCGTCCCCCGTCTTTCTTTTTCAGCCACACCATGTCGGCTTCCTTCCATGTTTTAGGGAATGTCGCGTTTGTCCAGCAGTTGTTGTATAGTTTGTGAAGTATGTCGGAGTTTATGTCGTTGATTTGTTCTAGTGCCTCTTTGTTTATTCCGTCTATTGCAGTGGCTTTGTTTGTTTTCATGTCTTTTAGTGTGTTTGTTATTTCTGTTTTTGTAATTTCTGGCTCTGGCTCATAATTTATGAAATTGTATGTGTTTTGTCTAAGCGTTTGTTGTTCTTGTGTGTCGTCGTTTATGTCGTCTGTGGGAAAGTATTTGTTATGTAGGTATTTTATTGTGTCTGTTCTGTCTTTTGTCCATGTACCATCTTCTTTCTCAATTGTAGCAAGGATATTTGTGTTGTTTTTATTGGTTTTTTTGATGATTTTATAGGCTACTCCCCATGGATCGTTGGGGTCGTTATTTGTGAGTATTTGTCGCATTGATTGTCGTTTGTATTCTTTAATTTTTGTCTTGTAGCTCCGTCTTTGTCTGATGTACGCGTCGTGTTTAATCTGTCTTAGTTGGGCGTTTTGTTCTGTTTGGTATCGTTTTCGTGCTTTGTTTGTCTCTTGTCTTGTTTTGTCTAGGTCTGTTGTCCACCATATTTGTGTAACTTTACTTTTTGTTGTATTTTTGTTTTTGGAATTATTTACAAGGTGGTTTTGTATTTTCTTTTGAGTAGTTTTTGCAAAGTCATGTGTATTGTCCTCTGTAGTAGCCCAGTCTGTGTTGTCTATGTCTCTTTGGAATTTGTTGTGGTCTAGTTTGTCTACGTTGATTCTTGTTTTCTTTGTTGTTGTGTTGTGGTTGTTAATTTTGTCTGTATTGAATGTAATGTATTGGTGGTCGCTGAGTGTGTCCTCGTTAGATACGTCCCAGTCTTGTATGTCTATTTGTCTTGTGATGGTTAAATCTACCCAGCTTTTTCCCCGATTTGAGTTGAAGGTCGGTGGGCTGTCGTGTGTGTTATTGATCGTCATGTCATGTTGTATTGCCCAAGTCATGATGTCTTCTCCCCTTAGATCGGTTGTTGTTCCTCCCCAGCTAGCATTTTTGGCATTCATGTCCCCCCCTATGATAATATTTGTTCTGGTGTTTGCTATATTAGTTTTGTGTTTGTTTAGTCTGTCGTTTGTGTCACCCCCTGGTTCGTCGTATATGTTGATAATTCTTGTTTTTGTCCTGTTTGTGCTGATTGAAATTGTTGTTGTGTTTGTGTCTGTCATGTCTGTGTGTGTGACCGTTCTATCTGTCCATTTTTTGTGTAGTAAGATCGGAGCTTTGCTGTCTTTGTTTATTATGTCGTAGTCGAGTTGTCCGTTAAGTGTATGTGCGGGTTCTTGTATAAGGGCAATGTCTATGTCGTCTTGTGTCATTTTCCGAATTAATTGCTCTGATGCTTGGATGCCGCGACCCATATTAAATTGGATGAATTTCATCCGGAACCCTTTTTGTATTTGTCTTGTCTGTCTGTCTTTGTTTGTTTGTTTGTGTTTGTTTGTTTGTTTGTGTTTGTGTGTGTGTGTGTGTTGTTTTTTAGTCTGTTTGTGGGTTTTTGTTTGTGTGTCCTATTAGTTGTAAGATGTTTGTGCCCTTGCTTCGTCCAGTTTTCGTTCGTAAATGGGGCAGTTTATGTCTCTGGCTTGATGTCTTCTAGGTATGAGTCTTAGTCTTTCACAATTTATGCAGTTGTATTTGTCTGTGTCTTTGTTACAAGTGTTGCCGTCATGTCCGTCTCCGCATTTGTAGCATGTCGCTGTCTGTTCTCTACAGTACTTCGATACGTGTCCGTATCGACAGCACTTGAAGCATAAAGCTAGCTGTGTGGCCTCGTTAATGTAAATTGTCTGGAAGTCTAGGTAAAATTTTTCGGTTTTTAAAAGGTATTTTATTATGTCCGTCGGTCCTCTTACGTAGGCGTTCTCTTTATATGGGTTTCTGCAGGGTCTTGTCGAGACTACTGTCAATAATTTTAGCCTGTCACCAAAGTTGTCGTTTAGGTCGTCATTTTCCAGTTTCAGGCCGTCCGTTAGTTCATCGTGTGTCAGTCCTTTTCTAATTCCGGTCAGTATAATTGTAGGTTCGTTATGTCTTGTTCCGTCTTTGATGTCTAGTTTTGCTGATGTCTGTGTGCGTCTTATTATGTCGTCTTGTTTGTCCTTTGTTTGTGATGTTAAAACTATGGCAGTCCGTGTATGTCTTATTTGGGTTCCTTCAATGTCTTTGGCTTTAATGAGTTTCTTTAATTCTGTAAGTGTGTCTCCCTGTTGCCCCTCTTTGAGTTTAATTACTGTGTCAAACTTTTTGTAGGGTTCCGGCGTTGTCCATGTCTTTTTGTCTTTGGTTATTTCTGTGGTTGTGTTTGCGGGCTTTTTCGTTAGTTGGGCGTAAGTTCTTTGTCCTAGGGCCGGAAAATCGTTTGGCGATATGTTTGTCGTTGGTGTCAGGGGAGTAGCGTTTAATGTTGTTGCCGTCGTTGTTGTTGTGGTACCTACGGGTGTATTGCTTTTGAGTGCCCTTAGAATTTCTGTTTGTAGATTTTTTAATTTGTTGTCCATGTTTGTATCTATGTCAGTCGTTTTTGTTTTTTGTGTATGTAGTCTGTCTTGTCTTAGTTCGTAGTTCTCTCTTTGTAATTTATTTATTTCATTTTCCTGCACTAGGAGTAGTGTCAAAATGTCCGTGTACATGTTCGATATGTCATCTACCGCTATTAGAACAGTCTTTTCCTCTTTCATAGAAAACGCTATTTTTCCCCTACCCTCTGGTGTCGTTCTGGTGACCGCGTCTTTGATTTGTTGTTTTATGTCTTTCATGTTCTTTGTCGTAGCTTGTATTAATGTCTGTGTGTTCGTTTGTTTTGGTGTTGCGTCTTTGTCGCGTTTTTCTGGTTCTCCACTCACCTGAGATGTCTTGGCGCTCACTCCCGCACTATGTACCACGCTACTAGCCGCACTTATTGCCGCGATTTTTGTCTGCTCTTCTTTTTTCTTTTTCTCTTCTATCAAGATTTTCTTCCTTTTCTCTTCTTCTTCTAGAATTTTCTTCTTTCTATCTGCTTCCAAAATTTGTTTCTTTTTTTCGTCTTCTAAATCTTTTTTCCTTTTCTCCTCGTTCTGTCGTATGTTTTCTTCTTCGTGTTTTGATTTTTCCATTTCTTCGGGTCTTGTTTCTTCTGGGTTTTGTTCATTTGTGCCGTTTTTCATGTCTCTTTTTTTAGATTTTTCAGAGACTTTTAACTCCATTCGCTTCCTTTTATTGCTAGCTGTTTCCGGGTATGGCATCTCTTCGTATTTCTCGGGCGATTCTGACGCTAGAGAGTGCCGCCTTGTTACCTCTGGTGACCTGGCTACTGAGCTTTTGCGAGAAAGCACTCCTGTCTTTTCTATTTCTTGCTCCGCCAGTATGATAGATTTGGAGAGGTTGTCAAGATTTTTTTCTAGCTCGTTGTCCGACATACTGTCTTCCATGTGTGTGTAGACCGTATAATTGGAAAGTTTGTAGAAAACACTATATATAAAAAAAAAGGCTGATTCTTGACGCGCAAGAATCAGCCTTATAAACTCGGTTGGGCCTCTCGTTACCTTCCGCGGAACCCCGAGAAGGACGGCGGGTGTCGCGAGAAACTTCCAACTGTTTTTTAGTTCGAGTGTGTCAATTTTGTTATGATTTTTAGTGTTAAGTTTGTTTGACTAATATAGTTCGAGATTGTGCAAATACTCCGTAGTAAACCGGACAGTGGCTGCGCACGCCTAGCTATGTCCGGTTGCAATTCTATTATCACTGCGCGGCGGTATCACTGTTTTCGCGCGTCTTCGCGCAGGTTTGGGGCTCTCACCTGCGTTGACGTACGAGCACTACGATATTTTCGCGTCTGCGCGTCGATTGAGAATTTGGTACCGGAGCGCTGGGGCTCTTTCACTGTACTGGCACTTTTACTATTTTAACCTCACTTTTGTCGCTTAGAATTCAATGTAAAACACTCACGTCTGCTCCGGCCTAGGTCCAAAGCGGCCCACGTCACAGCGGGTATTTCATACGCAAATACCACAACACAGGCCATTCGACACGTAGTCGAACAAAAACAAAAAGAGAGGTCTAACGACGACGCCCTCATCAAGGACTTGTTAGAACTCCTCATGCGACACCAAGGAACCCGTTAATGAATACACCACCTACAAGGCCAAATCAGCTGAAGATCCTTTCGTGGAACTCAGGAGGAATTCGGATAAATAAGAACCTTCTATTCGAATTAATCGACAGAGAGGACCTCGACGTTATAGCGCTACAGGAAACAAAGCTAACCGAGCGGCAAAACTTTAGTTATCCTGGCTATGACGTGTACAGGACCGATCTTAGAGGAAATTCAGGAGGCACTGCGATTCTTATTAAGCGGGAGATAGATCACTATCACACTCCCACGCCCGGAGGACTCCGGACAATGGAGGCTACTACGATCACTGTTAGAACTTCCCACGGAAATTTTAACATAGTGTCTGCCTACCTACGACCTAGAGACACGCTACATCACGAGGATTTAGACCTAGTGCTACCACCCTTCGAAGAAGGCCTCATAATCGGTGATTTGAACGCCAAATCCCCCGACTGGAACAGCAGAAGACGCAACCCCTCAGGACGGGCGTTGGAAGCCTACCTGGCAGATAACCCAGGATGCGACGCCGGAGGTCCACTCGAGCCAACACACCACCCAACACGAGGACTGCCCGATGTGATTGACATTGCCATCGTGAGAGATTGCACATTTCCCCTGGAAATTTACTCTCTTAACGAGGGCTTCGGTGGACACAATCCCGTACTTTATCACCTAGGTGAGGGAGAACGAGATAGCCCGCCGAAGATGGTGTCGAAAACAAACTGGACGCAGTTCAAAAGAATTCTAGGGGCAAATATCGGTAACGTACCGGTAATCGAAGACGAGGAGGCAGTGGACCGAGCGCTAGAGCACCTAGTGCATCACATACAACAAGCGCTGCAAACCAGAACGAGGGAAACCGAAATCACTAGGCCCAGCAGATTTAAAAACATCGGCCAGGACATTAAGGACCTTATAAGACTAAAAAGACAAGCACGCAGACGAGCCAACAGGACCAGACTCCCCCGAGACCGGATCTACGCGCAAAACCTCGCACTTAGACTGCGAGAAGAACTCAAGCAACATAGCGACGAACAGTGGAAAAACTTCCTAGACACTCTGAATCCGCAACAAAAGGGGCTCTGGAACCTGCAGAAAATCTTACGACGAGACAAACACACAAAAGTACCTACGCTCCACGGTACGCGAGGTCTCGCCCACACCGACGAGGACAAAGTCGAAGTATTCGCCACCTCCTTGGAGAACGAATGCCAAAACAATGAACACGACGATGAGGATATGGACTTTGCGGACGTAGTGGACGAACTATGGGAAAACAACTACCCAGAAGACGACGACGACGGGCTAATTTTAACGCCGACATCTCCTGACGAACTGATTGGCATTATTCGTTTTGTTTCAGCAAACAAAGCACCAGGATGTGACCACATTACAAACAGAGCACTGAAGCACTTACCTCAAAAGGCCATTGTCCACTTCACAGCGATCATAAACGGGATTTTAAGAAATCAGTACTTCCCACGACTCTGGAAAAGCGCTGAAGTGCTTATGTTTAGAAAACCGAATAAGGACCCCACCTTTCCGCAAAATTACCGCCCCATCAGCCTTCTACCCGCGATGAGCAAAATTTGCGAAAGGATTATACTCTACAGGCTAAAGGAACAAACCGAGGATTTGAACATCATCCCCGCCGAGCAATTCGGATTCCGCGAAGGACACTCCACCGAACTTCAAGTCCTAAGGCTAGTAGAGCATATTACAAAGAAATTCAATCATCGACAATCGACAGGAGCTATATTCCTAGATGTCTCCAAGGCATTCGACAGAGTATGGCACGCCGGCCTGATTTACAATATGAAGGACCTAGGATATACAACGGCTATGACGACGCTGCTCAGGTCGTACCTCAGCGAAAGAAATTTTCGGATTAAGATGGGACATGTTCTATCAAGATCTGGAGTTTTGGACGCAGGGGTGCCTCAAGGAGCGGTATTGTCACCGCTATTGTATACCATTTACACCTCGGATATACCAAAAACCCAACGAACTACCATGTCACTCTACGCAGACGACACGGCCATAGCAGCCTCAAATACACAGCCCTATTTGATATCAAGGCACCTACAAGTAGCAGCGACAAAAATCCAGGAGTGGTGCGTAAAATGGAAAATCAAAATTAATGCCGAGAAAAGTCAAGCTGTGTTATTCACGAAGAGACGACACCAACCCGGACGAGAAATAGGAATAGATGGGCACGACATCCCCTGGAGCACCTCCGCCAATTACCTAGGAGTCAAGATGGACAAACACTTGCGTTGTTTTACACCGCACGTGGACATGGTAGTCTCGAAGGCCAAACAAGCGCGAGCGCGGATGAGTTGCCTGATCGGGCGACGAAGCCAGCTAGCGCTTAGAACCAAATTAAGACTTATTCACGCCGTTATTCTGCCAATTTTGATGTACGCCTCCATAGTGTGGGGACACACCTGCAGGACTAGCCGAAAGAAAATCCAGACGCAGCATAACCTCTGCCTGAGGTATGCAGTGAATGCATATCGATACACTCGAAACACGCAGCTATACAGGGAGCTAGAATCACCACCGATTCTAGAGCGAATGAATAAACGCGCCGAGAGTATATTTGAAAAGCTAAGGACACATCCGAACCTAGAACTGCGGGAACTCACGGACTATTTAATAGTAGACTACACAAGGCACGCAAGGTCTAGAAATCAATTAGCCCCAAATATCGACGGACCGGGTATTTATTAATATTTACGACTTTTTAATATTTTCTTTCTTTTCAGCCTCGGCAGAAGTAAGTACTGACCGTATAAATACATTTCTCACATTTATTTATATTTCTTTTTAGATGATTTTTCCAGCCGGAAATAATTGTTGTCTATTTATTTTTAACTTTTGTTAATCATATTTTTGTTTTTCAGAGGTTATTTTTATTTCAGACAACAAACACGAGAAACAGACACTAGACTGTACACACAAACGACAACCGCCTGCTAAAGAGCTGTCCCCCCAATTGCCACTTGGGGAAATTAGGGGAACGCTCACAGGCGGGGACACCTAAACTCACGCACGCACAGACGACACGGCAGAGTAAAGTCTTAAACCACACTCTGCATAAATGATGATTACATTTCTAACTTTCATGCCCTTTAGAAAGTTGGATTTGTAAATTTGATGCCTTTTGCCACTGAGGTCGCTGCAGCGATGTCATGTACAAAGCAGGGGGGTGGACGGAATGGGTCAAATAGGTTCCGGATTTGTTTTATACAAATTTAGAACTTATTCGACTCGGGCCTCGGAATCCATGTTGTGTTGGCTATTCAGTGTAATACTCGCTGCTGTGAGTCAGTTAGTAGCAGCGCCCAGTCCACGTCCTATCGTTAGCTGAGGGCTGTATTAGTCTCGTCTGTAAATTGTGAGGGCTTTATGCAAACATCCATGTTTTCTGCTTGCATTATCTCCTTCATAAATCGAGTTAATGTCCTCCTTGAGGGAACTAGGTAAACAATTGTTGTAGAATTTGTTATATATTCGGAGGATGTGTGCTTTAACAGTTTCCATAGATGTTTACATGTGCATGTCATGAATTCTGGCATAGCGGTCATACCCCAATGCCAGCCTCAGACACTTGTTCTGTATTCTTTGTAGCTTATTATAGTGACTTTCAGCCATTGAGCAGAAGACAGGACCTCCGTATATAAGGATAGGGCGCAGTACTTGCTTGTATAGTAGGAGTTTATTGTTACAAGTGACTCTACTCCTTCTATGCAATAGCGGATATAATATTTTGATGGCTGCAGTTGTTTTAGCTACCCTATCATTTATATGTTGCCGGAATGTAAGCCTCCTATCTAGTATTATGCCTAGGTATTTGAGTTCATTTTTGGCCTCTATAACTTGACCTTGCACTTTTAATTTATTTATGATCCTATCCGTCTGTTTTTGTGATAATATAAGACTCTCCGTTTTGTTGGGATTTATTTTAATTTTATTATTGTTAAGATAGGGGACTAACATTCTATTGACATGGATGTCCAGTCTTCTGTTCGCAATTTCTGCAGACTGTGATGATTTAAAGATACAAGTGTCGTCGGCGTATAACGCCGTCTGTATACCATTATGTCCCATTGGCATGTCATGGGTCATGATGGTATACAGGTGCGGCGCTAGTACTGATCCTTGAGGTACTCCCGCCATGGCAGTGTATGGTCCTTTACTTGTGTTGTTTATTTTAATGAAAAATTGTCTATTTTGTAGGTATGTTTGTATTGTTATAACAATATACACAGGGTAGTCATTCATAAACACTTTGTGGATTAGTCCGTCAGTCCAGACTGTGTCGAAAGCCTTTGCAGCATCCAGAGCCACTAACACCGTTTGTTGATTAATATTAAATCCTTTTTTTGCTTGATGAGCAATTCGGATAACTTGAGATACTGTGCTGTGGCCGGCCCTAAACCCATACTGTTCTGGCGGAATAATTTGTTTGTCAAGTTGGTATGTATGTATTCGTTTTAGTATGACTTTGTCCGTTATTTTCGCTAGTCCATTTAATAGTGAAATGGGGCGGTAACTTTCAATTAAACCTTTCTTTTTCCCTGGTTTGAGTATCGGAATGATATTGGCTACCTTAAGGGCTGGAGGGTAATATTAAAGTCTTAATACTCCGTTGATTAGATGATGAAGTTGTACTATTGCTTTTTTGCTGATGTTTTTAAGCAGTTTATTATGGATATCATCGGGTCCTGGAGCCCTCTTACTGGGAAATCTTTTAATTATTTCATGAACTTCAGAGGGGTTCGTTAGCGCATTATGAGGTAATCTTTGAGTTGGCATTTCATAAATGTCCTTAGATAAATTTTGGATTTCATTTTGTTCAGGGTTATTTAGTTGTGGGTTTATAAAATTTTCCTGGAAAAATTCGCCGAACGCATTCCCTTTCTGGTCGTCCGTTACGTAAGCGTTGTTATTGTATCTCAGTGTGGGAAGTTGCGAGAAATACTTTCTAAACCTCCTCACCATTTTCCACACTGAATTGTCATGTATGTTGATGGCTTCTAGGGTTTTTCTCCATGTCATGTTACGATATTCATTGATTTCAGAGTTGATGTGTTTATCAATTTGAATCATGTTAACTCTATCCTCATCTTGTCTGTGGGCTTGCCAGCGCCGTCTGATGTAATTCTTGTGCGTTTGCCAGCGCCGTCTGATGTAATTCTTGTGCGTAATGAGATCTAATATCTCTTGAGGAGATTATCTTTTTGTGGCTTGCGCGTATTTTTCTTGGTTGAGAGATCTCTAGCTTTGATTATAGCTTTGGTTAGCTTATTATATTCTTCCTCAAAAGTATTTTTGTTTGTTATGTTATTGTTTATGTGGATGTTTTTGTCTAGGATTTGTCTGTATTTTGTCCAGTTTGTTGTGTTGTAATCGTAGTACTGGCCCTGTATTCTGGGGATCAAGCGTGTTGTCTTAATATCCAGATATACAGGGTCATGGTCTGACGTAAGTTCTTTGATAGTCCTAGTGTTGTCTATATTCGGAATGTTCTTAGCAACGGCTATATCCAGGTTACTTGGCGTGTGATTGTTTTGGAAAGGGAAATACGTGGGCTCTTCCGGATAATGTATGATGAAGTCATTGTCATCGGCGAATTCATTCAGGTTTTTACCACTTTTATTGGGTATGGTGCAGTTAGAGTCCCAATGTGGGTGTTTACAGTTGAGATCTCCGAGTAGGAGGACTCTTTTTCCCGATGTCATAATAGAATTTAATTCAATTTTGGTGAATATATTATTTGGTGGGTTATATAGTCCTACAAATGTGATATCTTGTATTTTTACAATGATATGTTCTTGCGTAATATTAATGTTATTAATTTGCATAAAAGGAATTTTATTACTGATTATGAAAGCTACTCCGCCCCCTTTCTGTCCTTGTCTGTCTTGTCTTATGACATTATACTCTTGTATTTTTAGCGAATTTGTGTCTTTGTAGTATGTTTCTGTAATGAGTACAATGTCAAATTTATGTTTATGAATGAAACTGCGAACAAGTGCGGTTTTGTTGCGCATCCCGCGTGCATTGAAGAAACAAATTTTGAGTTTTTGTGTGTTTTGTGAATGAAGTTCAGTTCCTAAGTTTGTATTGATTGTCAACGTCGCTCATAAACGCGTTGTAAGTCTCTATAATTTGTTGTCCATTTAAGCACTGTTTGAGTGCAGCGTTAAGCGTTCTAATCGCCCTTGTTAGCTCACCTATATTAATTAGTTTGTTTACCTCTGCGAGTTCCTTATTGAGTATAGTCACATCGTTCATCGTTGAGTTAGGGTATTGCACTCTAGTAGTATCAGCTATGGTGGCCTCTACTGACTGTTGTCTGTTGTTTCTGTGCGTTAATGCTGGAAAATCTTCGGTTTTTCTCGCATTATTGGTTTTCCTCGCTTCCCATTGATTTATTGCGGGTGGGGAGGCTGGTATTAGCTTTCTTTGTTGGGTAGGTCTTCTCTCTTCCAACCTCGTTAGTCTTTCGATGTAGGCTTTGCATTTTGAGTAGTTAGCGGGGTGATCACCCCCGCAGTTAACACACGTAGCAGGTGTGTCTCTAGACTTGACACACGTGCGTGTATGGTGATCCCCCGCGCACTTCACACATCGTGCTGGTTTACCACAATTAGCAGTTGCATGTTCCCACTCCTGGCATGTATGGCACTGTATAATTTGTTTGACTGATTTCCTTAACTCCCAGGTCACTCTGGTGTGCATAACTCTTCTAGCGTTCTTATTCAAGTACTCCAGAGTGATAACCGGGTCAGTGACTACCAGGTAGAGGGGACGCTCTTTAGTTTTCATGGTGTACATTTCCCGGGCAACAATTTCATGCTCGTCTTCGAGGCTCTCCTTAATGTCCTGAATTTTGGTGTTCTCAGCCAGTCCTCTAAGCACGAACGCATGCGATTTTTCACTGTAGGCCGTGTAAGTGTGATAGGCCATTTTCTCACTTTTCACGTTATTTAGGACTTTTTCATAGTCCTCTTTTCCATCTACAAAGAGAATTGTGGTTCGGTTTGTGTGTTTCACACTGAATTCTCCTTGCACAATTGCTTTGAGGTCGGCTATTAGCTGGTTGGGATTTGATGTCTTACCATCAATCACGATTGGTGGCATTGACGATTTGTGTATGCTGGTTCTGTTTGCATTTTTATTGTTTATGTTGTCATTTGCGTTATTTGTGTTGCTTGTACTGGCAACGGGTTGCTTTGGTGGCACTGTTGGGGTTTCTTTGGTATGAAAAGGCACAAACTTTGTACCATTCTCCGAGTCAGATTCGTCGGTAAGCACTTGAAAAGCATTCCTGGTGGTTGTTAGGGTTTGGGCAGCCTTTTCCCTAATCATTTTGTGGAAATTGGAGCTGAACTTCCGTGGTACTGTAAATTGTTCGTCTTTATTTTTGCTGAGTTCTTCATCAGCCTTTTTTAGGTCTCTTTCTCTTTCATATTCCTCCCTCTGCTTTTCACTGCGGAATTCGAAGCAGCTGTTTGGGGAGTGTGGCAAATTGTCGGCCCTATTAAATTTTTCTCTAACACTCAGTGAGTCTTCTTCTGAGGTTTGGCTTTGGTAATGTAATATATTTTTGTCTACACTACTCGGGATCTTTTTCCTTTTTATTCTCGGATCTGAATTAGCCCTTTTTCTGGGGATGTTTTGTACGGGTGTGAGGGTAGTATTTTCCATTGCTAACCTGGAGGTGGTAGGAATAGGGGGTTGTACTGTCTGTGAGGGGCAGTACCCAGCAGAGGAACTACTTAGTCCATCCCTCGTTTGAGTACCTCCCACACAGTCAGTGATATTTACGTGGGGGTTACCACCGAAATCTAGTGGCTTTGCTACTGCATTACCTGGGAAGGGTAAAGTTTTGAATGTACCTTTGGGAAGTTGGTCTCTTTGGTACTCTGAATAAAAATCCGCTGTGGCTTGATCCAGTTCGCCAGACTCTTTGTTTTGGGTGGGGACTACAGTATTGTCCATGTCTACGTCACTTTCAGAAGATGAGTCTGATGAAGACTTTTCGAGTACGTTAATAAGTGTTTCCACTGTTTTATATTCGTTCTTATCATGAGGTTCGGGAGTGTGAGGGTTGGAATTACTGCTCTCTTTTGGGGAGTGATATTCCATATCCTCCGAACCATCCATAGATGGCTTACGTGGCGTATTTTCGCTACTATCAGTAGTGTTTGGATTCGCTTTTAAGTTTTGGAGGTCATCTGAAGGTGACTCAGAAGAAATTTTTGCCAGGGGGTCCCCTTGATTCGGGTAATTGACCCCTGGGTTATTTGTTAGCGTCCCACACTCTGTACTCACGTTTGATTTTCTCCTGGGCTTAGGGCTGGATGTTGGAAGGCTTTCTGGATGTTGGAAGGCTTTCTGGGTGTAGTTGCTTTCTGTGCTTGTCCAGATATCTGTACCGGCTTTTCAACCTATTCGAATACTCAGTTTCGAAGCCTTTCGGCGTTGTGGGTGCCCTTTTGGGCTCGGACATGTGCCGAGTACCCTCTACTGATTTGTACTTACATTGGCGTCGATAAAAAAAAATTATAAGGAACAAGTATAAGTAAAATAATTTTATTGTTATTTGACAACTGACGTTTACTAGTTCAAAATTGATACGCTCTGTCCTCAAACGACTCCTAGGAAAGTCCTAGGTAAACTGGCAAGCCAAAAATTTCACACCGAGCAATGACGTCACTGTGCCGTCCTCCGTCCGACTATAGTTGGTAACTATTTGTTGTAGTGATTTGACTATTCAGTGTGGTCGTCGCTGCTAAGGAGGATGTACGTCAATTTTTATCCTGTTTTCTGTCATATATGTCCGTAATGAGTGCATACTGCAGTCATTCATGCCCTTGCTCACGCCAATTTTCCCGAAATACATAGAAATCAAATAAAACCATGTTTAACTAAGAAAAAGCGCTTCCGCAGTCGCATAAACTTCCACAGTAGCATTTTACAATGTATTATAACGAATATTACTGATTTTACTGTGATGTATGTTGAAATTTAGTTCATAAGCTTGAAGTTAATGTCTAGGTCCGTCATGATCGCGTTGTAAGTTTCTATAATCTCTCTTCCCGTTGTGCATTTAATGAGTTTGGCGTTCAGTGCTCTGACTGCCCTAGTTAATTCTCCGATATTAATAATGTGTTACGCTCTACCCTTACTTATGAAAGGGGCCAAGCGTAATTTCTGCTAGCTCGTTAATTTTTTTGATTTCCGGAGAGTAGGGTCGGGTCAGTCAGAACTTAATAAAAAGCATTCTCGTCTGACAACTATTTAATTTTTGAGGTTAGATGAAATAAAAATATGTCAATAAAAAAATAATATGGGAAAAAAATATGAAATTATCACGCAGATATATCGGTAATTATATATATTATAATAGTGAGTATATGTAAAAAGAGGTCCCCGAATAGTACTATCCGTTACAAACCCGTACTTATACCACGTAAGTATTAATCTGACTCTAATAACAAAATATGTTTTGGTAACTATAAAAATCTACCGAAATATATCAAGTCTATTCATTAGCTATTTTATACGGTAAATCTTAGCTTGTCCTACGGAATTAATATTAAAATATTTGTAGGTAGTTCCTAAAACGGTATGTGGCCGGTTTGAGGTTATGTCGGAACCTCGTGGCAGATGGGGGCCTTTAATGTAAAGGAATGGTCTTACCTGTGATATCGATGATCAGTCGTCTGGTGTAGCTTGCTATACTTTCGGTCCCAAGCAAGGTTTCACAAGGGTAAGCGGCAAATAATCCTTAATTAGTAAGGGGGTTGATCCTGGGGTAATCAGTCTTGATAAAATTCTTCTGTCTTGCCTGTATAATACGAACTGGTACTAGCAAGATAAGCAGGAGGTGTGGTAGGTTAGCTATAAGCGATAGCGAAGATAGCTTGAAGGAGAAGGAAGAGAAGGTGACTCGGAAAGTCCCCAGATAATTAAAAGGAGGTCTGAAAGAGGGATTTGCATAAGCCATACATATAAATAGCCTTATAAACTATAGGTAAGCCAAGAAAGATGTCTTATTTAATTTTAAGGACTCACCTGGAGCTGTTGGGCGACCTTTTTAGTTGTAAATTCAGTCAATAAATATATTTAAATCCACCAAAAAGGTGATTCAAACCACAACGATTTATTTGGTATATTTTACTAACTGATTTAATCGTTTTTAGCTCAACGTTCAGATCCTACAAACAGTAGAACATATGGCACATGTTATCACAAAGCTGAGCTTATAAAAACTGACTCAAGGAAGTTTCCCAAGATGGTAGATAATCCATGTAAGTCAATAAAAGGTCTTTAATAGTCAAGGTTAACAGGACAAAGTCTGGTAAGAGTGTGGCCCTTATTGTTAAAAGAAGAATTTGACATGTGTGGATGTCATAAAATAAATGTAAACAAATAATAACATGTACTTATAGATATCAGATATTTAAAAGAGTTATCTGTACTATTTTGTGTAGTAAAATACAGTTCTTTGGACTTTAAAGTATTCACTAGATGTAATCAGGTTGACAAATATAAGACAAAAGGTTAGAATGGGTTTTAATGTAAAATAAAATACTAAATTAGGATCCTTACGATTCAAGTTTAGAATTTAGTAAATCGATCGATTATATCCCCAGTAGGAGTAAATAAATAGGGAAAATATAGGACACAATATATATAAAAAGAGAATAGAGCTAAAATATAATAATGTACATAGTTAAGCTTAGAATAATTTAGGATAGCGTAGAATAGGTTAGAAGTAGAGTAGTGTAAATAGTTAAGCGTAAAATAGTGATAGAATAGATTAAGATAGAATAGTTTAGTTTAGGATAGTCTAAGATAGAATAGTTTAGTTCCGGATATATTAAGATAGGATAGTTTAGGATAGAATAGTTTAGTTTAGGATAAAATAGTATATATTAGGCTAGAATTAGATATAAATTTAGAAGAATCAATAACAAAAATAAAAAATAATTGTTTACACACTTTGCTGTTTTGGCTAAAACTATTCTAGATAGAATTTTTGACCCGTAACAAATGGAGTTTAGTGTCTGAAATTCGTTATTAAGGGCCGTGAAATCGTCCATGGCTACGTTGGGGGTTGTGTTTCTAGGAATATCCGGTCTCCTGGCTGGTAATCTTACATTTTCTGTAGTTTCCTTCATGTTTCTACTAGGAAGTGCTGGGAATTCGTCCTGCATGTTTCGGTTTTGTCTCGTGGTCTCCATTGGTTTATGGCAGGTTGAGGGGCGGGTACATATTTTTGACTTCTATTTTGATTGGGTCTTCTTTCTAGCATGCGTTCGAGCTTGGTAATGTAATTTTCACATTTAGAATAGTTCGCTGGGTGGTCTCACCCGCAGTTTGCACATGTTGCTGGCGTATCTGGAGTTTTCGTGCAAGTGCTGGTGTGATGGTCTCCGGCCCATTTAAGACAGCGGGGTTGCCTGCCACAATTAGCCGTAGCATGCCCCCACTGTTGGCAATTGTGGCACTGTATTATCATCTTTGTGGACTTACGCATCTCCCAGGTGACTCTGGTATAGAGAACTCTTTTGGCATTTTTATTGAGGTAGTCCAGCGTGATTACCGGGTCTGTGATTACTAAATATAAAGGTCGTTCTTTAGTATTCATTTTGTCGATAGCCTTCGTTGTTATTTCATGCCCCTCCTCCAGATTTTGCTCTATGTCTACAATTTTAGTCCCTCGGGCGAGTCCCCCTCAGGACAAAGACATCAGTTTTGTCATTACGTGGGGTATACGTGTGATAAGGCATTTTTTCATTTTTGATATTAGATTTCACTTTCTCATAATCTTCTTCTGTTTCAACAAATATGATTGTAGTATAGTTAGTGTGTTTGACACTAAACTCCCCTTTGACTATACTTTTTAAATCTTGTATAAGATTTACCTGATTTGGGGTCCTGCCGTCTATGACTATCGGCGGCATCATGTTTATTTTTACTTTCCTATCTGTATACAGATATAAGGAAAGTATAGGAATCATGATTTTTTTCGACCTCGAGTTTTCGACGGATTTTTACGTTTTGAGGTCCCCTGAATCCGTTTTGACTATTTTCGCGATGATGTCTGTGTGTGTGTGTGTGTGTGTGTGTGTGTGTGTGTGTGTGTTTGTGTCTGTGTGTGTGTGTGTGTGTGTGTGTGTGTGTGTGTGTGTGTGTGTGTGTGTGTGTGTGTCTGTAGGTCGCATAACTCATAAACCGATACACAGAAAAACACCAAATTTTAAATTTAAGCTTTATTCCAGCGTCTAATGAACTGATTAGATTTTGGGCAGAGTCGGAACATCTGGGGGGTACTTTATAGGTGGACATTTTTATATTTTATGGAATATATCTGTTATTTACATTTGGAGAAGAAAATTCTTCAAATAAAAGTTACTTCCAATGTTATTATCTATAATTTTTGTTCTATACAAAATTTTCCTAAAATGGTCCGTATTCGAGAAATTTGACAAAATGTAAAAAAAATATTTTTTTATAAAAATTGTTCAAATAAAAGTTGTTTGTAATATAATTCTCTATAATTTTTATTCTATACATAATTTCTCTAAAATGGACCGTATTCGAGATATTTGAGAAAATGTGTAAATTTCGAATATTGAAGAAAACTCAAAAACGGATAAAGAAAAAAACATTAAATTTTAAACTTAAGGTTTATTTCGGCCTGACGTGAAATGATTAGATTTTGGACAAAGTCGGAACATCTAGGGGGGTACTTTATGGGAGGCCGTTTTTATATTTTATGGAATATATCTGTTATATTTATGTTTGGAGAAGAAAATTATTCAAATAAAAGTTACTTCTAATATTATTATCTATAATTTTTGTTCTATACAAAATTTTTCTAAAATGGTCCGTATTCGAAAAATTTGATAAAATGTAAAAAAAATATTTTTTTATAAAAATTGTTTAAATAAAAGTTGTTTGTAATATAATTTTCTATAATTTTTATCCTCTACATAATTTCTCTAAAATAAACCGTATTCGAGATATTTAAGAAAAAGTGTAAATCTAGAATTTTGAAGAAAACTCATAAACGGATAGTGGACAAAACATTCAATTTTAAACTTAAGCTTTATTCCAGCCTGCGATAAATTAATTAAATTTTGGACAGAGTCGGAACATCTGGGGGGTACTTTAGTAGATATACTATACGGGTACCACTACCAGTATAGGGAAATCAATGTGTTAGAGAGAGAGGTACCTATAGGTATGGGAAATCAATGTGTTAGAGAGAGGGGAACGATTCGCGCGGACTTGGTGAGGCATAGTGGGATCGCATGGTTCGTGCCAGGCGCCCCGCACCCCCGCCCCCGCAGTCAGCGACCCCCGCCCTGGAGCATGTGATACCTCGTTGAAAAGGTATTTATGTGTAGATTACAGAAAAGTGGAATTTTCAAAATTATTTTATATCTACAACACATTTTTATAATAAAATATAATTTTTTTAATTATACACAGATATAATTTTAGATAACAGAGTTTTTAATTGTTGCAAAATATTTTCGTTTGGATAAGGTACTCCAAATAGATTCCAATGAAATGCTCCTGCCGCAACAACTCTTCTTGTAAACTCACTAAATTTGTAGTAACTGCTCTGTTGGAAAAAGTAAATATGCCCATCGATCCATCGAAATGCGGAAGAAATATCTTCAGGTATTCCAGGAAATACGTCTCTTATTCGTCCTCTGTTTAATATGATAGTAAAATCATTATAAAACTCTATATACGACTTATTATTGTACAAGACATAGGACCGACCTGAATTTGATTGGAAAATAGCATTTATATGAGTGTTGTTGGACATATTAATTGAAAAATTATCTAATACTTGAACAGCAGGAAATGATACTGAGAAATATTTATTTGGGGGCACAATAGTAACCAAGTCGCCGATTGTAGTTTGAAAAATGTGATGTAAGGTATATTGACGTAGATCTTCGGGAATATAATCAACAAGAAGTTCCGGCTGAGATGGGATAATCATTTCGTTCAAATCGAATTTCCATATAAATGAATCATGGGCAATGTATAAGCGGTAATTTGAAAAGTCTGATGCAATTGCTAAAAACATAAAATCTGGGACAATATCACACACATTTTTCGTTGTTATTGAATGCTTAGTTGAAAATGGTTTTGTCGTAGTTGGAATTTTCCTCGTAAACGGTGCTGTAGTAGAGTTCTTAGAAGTTATCGGATGAATCGTCGTAGCCGGTGCTTTAGTAGAGTCTCTAGAAGTTATCGGACGAATCGACGTAGACGTCGATATTGGAACATACTTTTTCTTGAATCCATAGAGATATTGAATTACCATTATATCATCAGTATGCAGACTGTGGATCACATCTTGATATGTCCCATACATAATAGCGTTTTGATTATCACTATGTCCAATTCCTAGAGCATGTCCAATTTCATGAACTAATACCATAAGAAAACTGATGGAACCGTCAGGAATATTATTTCTCTCTCCAAAATACCAATGTTCCTCTATATCTAAATGGATTTCTCTACAAATACCCCTTTGCGGGAAAAATGAATGTCCTAAGACGCCATGAGGTCCGTCAAGGGGCAACGTGCATACATCATTACCCATACAATTTGTTCTAAAATAATGAGTTTTGCGAACCATAGTTATAGTAATATCAGGAGGTGTTATACTAGGGATAGTAACCATTTCAAACGTTAATGTTGAAGTATTTTGCCACATTTGGAAAGCCGTTTGTGCATCGGTCCGAGCTGCAGGTGTTGCTTGAGGAAAATACCATCGTAGATGGTGTTTTTGCCATGGAGAAGCCACCGTAAATTCTGTATCGCCATGCTGACAACGTGGTCGTCGCATAAATTTGATTGTTGAATTATTTAAAAGTCCATCTACAGGTAAATTATATTTTTCTTGAAAATTAATCAGGAAGGTGAAGATATCACTAGTATTAACAACAACATTTTCATATTGATTTAGGTATGCAATAGCATCTTTTTCGGAGAAATCTGTACACTGTACATACGTAAAAGTGAACACTGCAATAACTAATACGTCTACCTTGATCGACATTTTGACAGATAATAAAGTTGATATAGTAAATACCGAATACATAAACCTCGAAATTTAGCCCTATTCAGTTTTAGCAAAAATACATAAGCCTCGAAATTTACTCCTATTCAGTTTTAGGGAAAAAAAAATCACATAAACGTTCCTAATTTTTCATACACTTTGTATGTATAGAAAATATTATTTTGCATGTAATTGGAATTTCCGGAAAGACAAATGTTCACACAACTAATTTTAAACACTTCGTTGCAATTGAAATTTCTAGAATAGATGCATATGTTAGATTACTAATCACATACAAAAATACCAGGAATTCTGAATAAAGATTAAGTTAATTGCAACAATGGTATTTCCGGAGGGAAGTCCCTATTCCAAATGGTGTATATCAATTATAAAAATACTACGAATTGTGAATAACGATTAATTTAACTGCAATTGCAATGGTATTTCCGGAGAGTCCCCAACCGAGAAACGCGCTGCATTGACGTAATATCGGTAGCTTATAAGCGAACATACATGGGAGGCATTTCACATTCGACACTCAGGTTCATAACGCGACGCTCGACAGTGCTGTTAATTGTGTTTCTCCTATAAAAAATAAATGTAAGTAATTTTTATTTTTAAAAATCATTTTCTATCCAATTTAGTTTAGTTTTTTCTTTTTTCATGACCATAGATTATTATTCGTTTTTCTTTTTCATGGCCATAGTTTAATATTCGTTTTGAAATTTTTAATGTATACTATTTTGATTAGTTGATAAATGGTTTTGTTTTTCATGGCCACAATTTTTATTCGTTTTTCTAGTGATAGTAAATTGAAACAAGTAGTTGCAAGTAGATATTTAGAATTTTTTTTTCTTTATATATGAATCTAATCGAATTAAACAACGTATCTCTTATAGAAAGGAAAGAGACGATAAAAATTTCAGAGTTGCCCCTAAATGAGCCGGTCAAAATCAGCAAAGCCAAAATCGTAAATACCAAGTACGGAGACGCCGTTCTGTTGGAGTTAGAGGATAAAGCAGTATTCCTACCCCAAAGAGTTACAGAAACGTATAGACCATACTTGGACGAATTCGCCAGCCAACACTACAGCATCATTTACAGAGGAGAAATCGCCGTAGGAAAACCGAGTCCACTTGCTTCCTTTCAAATTATCGAGCATTAGGTGTAAATAAGAAAACAGAGAGGGGTAAGCATTTTTTTTTGTTATTCTTTTTTTATTAAAGTCACAAAAAATGTCGAGTGTGATTAAATGTTCTGATAAAGTGCTGGTAGCGATTAGAAAATTACGCAAAATTATTTTTGATAAATTTACTGCTAGAGATGCTGAGATTTGGTTAAAACTTTTAAATAAACAAGTTAAAGCCTGTAATAAGTGCATTAAAGATAAAAACTTATCCATTGGGGTAAGAAGGAAATTACAAACAAACATTGGGCATTTCAAACATTTTCGTAAATTAATTTTAAATAGACATGTGGGTTA